CCAACCAAAAAAACATCCCCACCAGATTTTTGCCGCTCAAGTCGCAGTTTCTCTTTCCCTCCACGGGGCCGTCGGCCGTCCCTGACACCGGTCTGGCTTTTGTGCCCCCACCACGTGCGGTCGATTTCCTGGTCTCAGGCCCGGGTCTTCCCCGTGGTGCCTTCGCCCGCCTGTCGCCACCTTCGGTGTGCTGACTTCGGGCTCGCGGCCCTGTTCAGGGCTCGTGGTGAGCCATCCTGGCGCCAGTTCACGCACTGGTCCGTGGTGACCCGCGCCATTTTGGCTGCGCGGCAGCTTTGCTGCTTCCCGCACTCGTGTGTTCTGTTGATTCGGGACTGTGCGGCTACGGCCACCCTGAGATCTCGCAGCCTGCCAACGCTCTCGCCTCGTTTCGGCACAAATTCGACCTTGACCGACGGTCCTTCGGGCCACCCTGGTACTCACGCAGTTGTCCGGGGTTGCGTCCATGCTTTAATTTCGGTTTCTGGCCCGGGTCGTCGTGTGTCCCGACTTCCTGGCGCTTCCGACGCTATGCATGCTTGCACGCTGGAAGCACGACTCAGTTTCAGCTGCCCCCCACTCGCCGGTCCGCCGCTGAGCTGCTGCGCGAGGTCCCAGTTAGCCGCTGTAGGTGTGGCCACCCTCCGTCGCTTTAGTTTACTTCGTCTCTGCGTGCCCCGCTTTGACTGGACTCGCCGCCGGCGCGCTCGCCCGCGGCCGCTGACTAAAATGTATCCCCACCAGACACTCTTGCGCCGACGCGATGTTTTGGCATTTGTGTCGCCTACGGCACGGATGTCGTCGGGTGTGTCTGTCGGTCTAGTTCGTCTCTGACGGTGCTCTCTGTCTGACTCACACCGAGCGATCGACCTCTGCGTGTTTATGCTCGCGCCGCCGCGCCAGCTTGGCTGCGCTTACTTGCTGGTCGCCACCGGGATTTCCAACGCCACCTGGTTTGGGAGTATCGTTTCTGGCTCTCCTTCTGAGTGGCTGCCCGCGCGCTCGCTTCGCTAGCCTTTCTTTTCCTGCTGCCTAGTCGCGGCCCGACTGGTGTTCGGACGGTTTTCGACCTGCCTCGCGAGCCTGTTGATCAAAAAGTCTCCCCACCAGCCCATCCTACACCAGGCTCTCGAACGAAGAGCGCCGACCATCGGCAGCTGTTCTCCTCCTCCTCCTCCTCCTCCTCCTCCTCCTCCTCCTCCTCCTCCTCCTCCTCCTCCTCCTCCTCCTCCTCCTCCTCCCCCTTATCCTCCTTATCCTCCTTATCCTCCTCCTCTTACGCCTCTTCCTCCTCCTGGTGGCGTCTTGGAGCTCTCTTGGGGCGTTTTGGTAGGCTATTTGGCCCTGCGGGCGGGCGGGCGGCGACCCGCCCGCCCGCACGCAGGGCCCAAGAGGAGGGTCCAAGACGTGTTTTGAGGCCGTTTTGGAGAACATCGATCACAGAAGGGGGAGCTTCAATCAGCGTCGCCCCTCTGAAGCCCCCAAAGTCGCTTTTTGGAGGGCTCTTGGGGCATTATTGGGCGCTCCTGGGGCCGTATTGGGCCCCTGTTGGGGCTATCCTGGGCCATGTTGGAGCTATGTTGAAGCTTCGGATGGGCACTGTAAGCGCACATGCGATAACGCAAAAAAAAACACTGATGTTCCCCATGATTTGAAACATTTTGGGGGGCATCCTTGGGGAGCTCTCTTGGACGCTGGGAACCGTCTTGGAGCGTATTGGAGCATATTGGGAGCTATCTCGAAGCATCTTGCGCTATCTTGAGCCATCTTGCAGGCTATCTAGGGCTTCCTGAGGCCCTCCTGGAACCAATATGGGTCATCTCAGACGCTCCGACACCTCGCGGAACCCCCTGTCCGGGGAGGGGGTAGGGGGAGGGATAAACCCCTCCCCGCAGGGGAAGAAGGAGGGATGGAAGAGGAAATCCCCTAAACCACCGACGCCCGGAGGGCTGGTGGGACTATTCCCGAATTTCCCTATTGCAACAGCATCGGCAGTATCTTCTTCCACGGCCCCTTCCTGGTTCGTAGCAGCTTCGGCGGCTGCGAGATCAGATATCTCAATACAGGACGTACCCACTGGAGCGAGTGATGGGTAGTCGAGAACCTAGGCGGCGACGAGGCGGCGACGGCGAGCACGGAGCCGCCAGACCGACAGCCAGGCCAGGACGGCGGGCGGCGACGAGGCGGCGCTGGGGCGGCGACAGGCAAGCACGGAACCGCCACACCGACATGTATGGCCGTTTCTTGAGAAGAGAAGCAAGAACCCCTAAGTGCACGCACGGTTTGGGAATATATATATATATATGTATATATATATACATATATATATATATACGTACATACCTGTATATGTATATTTATGTATATGTATGTGTGTACATATACGTACATATATACATGTATACATATATATATATATATATTATATATATATACATATATATATATACATATATATATATATATAATATATATATATATATATTACGGGGGGACGTGGCCGGGGGTGTCCCGCCCAGGGACCTCGCCAGGGCATGGGGGGCCCAGGGCCAGGGCATGGGGGGGCCCGGGTCTTACTTTCCTTATGTTTTTAAAAGGTTTCGGCCACCCGGACCCACCAGAGCCCTGGGGGACGTGACCGGGGGGGTCTCGCCCAGGGACCTCGGCAGGGCATGGGGGGCCCAGGGCCTTATTTTCCTTGTGTTTGTTTTTCTAGGGTTTCGGCCACCCGGAGCCACCAGAATCCCGGGGGACGTGGCCGTGGGGTCCCGCTTAGAGGCTGGAGCTTCTTGTGCTATTTGAGGACTAGTTATGGCTGGGTTGAAGTTACTCTTCTTCTGGTGTAAGTGGTGCAAGTTGTGTAAGAATGATTGAAGTGATGTAAGTGTTTGCTTGGTTTTGTAACTACGCTTGTGCTACGTCTGAGTATGTGTCTTCTGTTGGGCAGCGAGCTAAGCTACTTATCAAGTAGCACGAAGCAACTTAGATGTTCCCAGTAGTAAGTAACTTAGCCCACTTCTAAGTTACTAGCACTTCTGCAGAACTTAAGCCTATGATTCACCCAGCCCCCTCCGCGACTCGCGCGCCTGGAATCGGTTTCCCTACCTAGTTGTTGACGCTTCGCGTATCCCCACCAGCCCATCCAGAAACGATGTCCAGGGGAGTTGAGGTCATCAGGGAAGCGGGGGAGCATGCAGAATAACAAAATGTGGGGGAAGCTGTCATATACCCCAAGAGGGGGAGGATGGAGGAGGAATCGTCGTCATCGGAAGGGCGAGGACGAGAAGGGCGAGTAAGAAGGAGAAGGAGGAAAAGGAGGAACAGGAGGAGGAGGAGGGGGAGGAGGAGGAGGAAGAGGAGGAGGAGGAGGAGGAGAATAAGGAGGAGGACGAGGACCAGCAGAATAGCCAGAGGCATCTTGAATGCCTCTCGGATGTCTCTTGAAAGCCTTTTGGAGGCCTCTTCGGGCGTCTTGGGCTCTCTTGGCGGTCAAGGGGGGCTCTTGGGCGTCTTGGGTGCTTCGGGGGGGGCTCGACCCCCCCCCGAGGTGCGCCCCGTGCCGTCGACGAGGACGGGGGCGGCCCGAGGGGGGCCCCGAGGGGGGGCCCGAGAGGGGGCCCCGATCCCCCCCGAGGTCCGCCACGTGCCGTTGACGACGACGAGGACGAGGACGAGGACGGGGACGACGAGGACGGGGGGGCCCCGAGGGGGGGCCGACCCCCCCCAGAGGTCCGCCCCGTGCCGTCGACGAGGGCGAGGACGAGGACGCGGGGCCCCGACCCTCCGAGGTCCGCCCCGTGCCGTCGGCGACGACGAGGACGAGGACGAGGACAACGAGGACGGGGGGGGCCCGAGGGGTCGGGGCGGAGGGGTGGAAGGGGGCGGAGGGTGGAAGACAACATGTTATAGTTCGATGATAGATTTAAAAGCTCACATGTTTTCCTTCAACGATAGCAAAGTATCTTGTTGTTGTAGCTGTGTCATCTTGGGATTCGGAATCCCGAGCTACCAGAAGATACTATCAACATAAGAATAAGGTAACAAACGATAGCATGGTGTTATATGTGCGGCACTCGTAGTACGTATGCGTGGTAAGTGCCACCAGCCATCTGGGCGTAGGTAGTTTAGAGCGTTTCCCCCTTCCACCCTTCCGCCACGACCCCTCGGGGCCCCCCTCGGGGCCCCCTCTCGGGCGCCCCCCCCGTCCTCGTCGTCCGCGTCCTCGTCCTCGTCGTCGACGGCGGCACGGGGCGGAACTCGGGGTGGGGTCGGGGCCCCTCGTCCTCGACCTCGTCCTCGTCGACGGCAAGGGCCGGACCTCGGGGAGAGTCGGGGCCCCCGTCGGGGCCCCCTCTCGGGCCCCCCCCGTCCTCGTCGTCCTTGTCCTCGTCCTCGTCGTCCTCGACGGCACGGGGCGGACCTCGGAGGGTCGGGGCTCCTCGTCCTCGTCCTCGCCCTCGTCGACGGCACGGGGCGGACCTCGGGGGGGGGGTCGGCCCCCCTCGGGGCCCCCTCGTCCTCGTCGTCCTCGTCCTCGTCCTCGTCCTCGTCGACGGCACGGGGCGGACCTCGGGGGGGGTCGGGGCCCCCCTCGGGGCCCTCGTCGGGGCCCCCCTCGATCACCCCCCCGTCCTCGTCGTCCTCGTCCTCGTCGTCGACGACGGCACGGGGCGAAACTCGGGGTGGGGTCGGGGCCCCTCGTCCTCGTCCTCGCCCTCATCGACGGCACGGGGCGGACCTCGGGGGGGTCCGGGCCCCCCTCGGGGACCCCCCTCGGAGGGTCGGGGTCCCTCGTCCTCGTCTTCGTCCTCGTCGACGGCACGTGGCGGACCTCGGGGGGGGTCCGGCCCCCCCTCGGGCCCCCCTCGTCCTCGTCGTCCTCGTCCTCGTCCTCGTCCTCGTCGGCGGCACGTGGCGGGCCTCGGGGGGGGATTGCCCCAGACAGCTACGCCACGGCCATTCCTCGTCCTCCTCGTGCAGCGGCGGGGGCGACCTCCCAGGCCAAGTGTCCCTCGACCCGCAGCACGACCGCTTGGTGATGTTCTGGTCGGACAAGACGGTGTGGTCCATCGCCCCGACGCAGGACACGCGGGGGGGAGGAGGTGGGTGGAGATGTGTTTTTGCAGAATGGGTGAGGCGGGAGGAAGGAGTTATATGAGGAGCAGACAACAGGTAGGGGGAGAGAGAGAGAGAGAAACAAAAAAAAAAAAAAACGAAAATGAAGAGAAAGACAAATATTAAGAGAAAGAGAAAGACAGCGAGAGAGACAACTATAACGAAAGAAAGGGCAAGGAGGAAGAGGGAGGGGCGGGAAGAGAAACTGGAGGAGAAGGAGAAGGCGAACATAAACATAGGAAAACAAGGATGGGCGAAGACGGAACAAACAAAGAGACAATCTCCGTAGGAAGAAACGACGGAGGAGCAGGGTGAGGGAAGGGTGCAGAGACGGAGAAGGAGGAGGAGGAGGAGGAGGAGGAAAGGGGCGGGTCCGTAGCAATTTGGGCCCAAGACTCGAAATCCTTGTCGCGGGATTTCGAACCGAGGTTTCAGCCGCCGCGCGACGCCCATCATGGGGACGCCCGATGTGTGTTCACCTCCCAGTCGTTCGCCAAAGCACACGGCTACATCAGTAATGTTTCCGTTCCTAGCCTGTCGCTCTCGTGTGCAGTCTTGCCGCCATGCCCCCGAATACGTGGAGATGTTCTCAGTCCAGGAAACAGGTGCCTGATTATGTGGCTCCAAGCGGGGCGAGGCGCCATCCAGTGTTCGCACGGCCCCGAATCGGGGAAGAGACATCAAGCCAGAGACTGCCAAGGCCCTCGAAGCTCAGCAGATGGAGTTGGGAAGAATCGCGGCTCGTATCATGCCAGCCAGCCCAGAAGCCGCATACCAACACCCTCGATATTGCCTGCCGCCCGACCCCCAGGAGTTGCAGCCCCTGTTCCGCACGGGGATGAAGAACAAAAACACGTTTTTCGCTTCGCCGCTCAAAGCCAGCAGGGCCCAGGCAGAGAGGACACAACGGCCATCCAGGATACTGCGGTGTAACACTTCCTGATATCCCAACCCGGGCTTCTGGACAATCATATCGCAGCCGTCAAAACGCACACCGAAGAGAAGTTTACCAGAGCAGCCGAGATACAGAAGAAAGTGGACGATTTGCAGACCGAGGCCAACACCATCACATGCGACGTAGACGCGCTGAGGCAGGCGTTAGAGCAGCTGTACCAGGAGACGGAGGCCGACAACGAAGCGGGCATGTCCGACGTACCCATAGGCGCCATGCCTCCGCCAGCATCAGCTACTTCCGCCCAGCTACAATCACGGCAGCGTGCACATGGCTGGTCAGCTCCTGCCCCTGCGCCACTCCCTCCTCAAGCTGTGCAGCCTGCCCAACCCGCCGACCACGGCAGGGCGGTCGCACAGGCAGTGTCGAGCCTCCAGAATCACATGGCCCAACAAGACGCGACCATCAAACATATCTTCACGTACATGTACATGCCGCCGACCACGGCGGTGCGGTCGCACAGGCAGTCTCGAGCCTCCAGAATCACATGGCCCGAGAAGACGCGACCATCAAACATATCCTCACGTACATGTACATGCAAGCTCACCCGCATGAGCCCCAAGGCATTCAGCCTGCAAGCAACGGGATTTTGCGCGCAGGGGCCAGCGGCCCCAGAGACGCCGCCTGCGCTCCAACAACAGCACACGCCCCAGACAGCATGCAGCCCGGTTCCTCAGTCTTAGCAGCAGCACGGTCCGCCAAGCTCAGCTCCAGTAGCGACATCGCCCACTCCTGTCCCTGGCCTCCCAGTACCCCACGCCATCGCAGTGGCGTTGGACCGAGGCCTTGGTGTCGGCCCCAACGCGGACCCGCAAGAGACGCCCCAGGTGAACCAAGCGCAGCTCGCAGCGACGCAGCCGAAGGCGGGCAACTACAACCAGCAGGAGGTTACCCCAGGGCACACGTCCAGTTCCTGCCTGCCCCCGCCAAATCCGAGCCCGGCGTTAGCCCGTCAGCTCACCCAGGCGCAGTCCCTCCAGTCCGCGGCGCAGGCCTTGGCCGTCCATGCCTCGCCCAAGAGGGCGGGCACGGCTCCAGGAATAGCTAGATGCGCCCATCGACAGCGGACGGTCTTTCGCCGCCGAGGAAGGAGACCAGGGGCGAGATTCGCTCCACAGACGAGGTCGCCATCGAGACGGCCGACGGTCAGCTGCAGCCATTTCCCCCGCCGCCAGGCGCCCAACGGTCATTCCCAGGAGACGAGCAGAGCCTTTAGCAGTCCCATGGGAGAAGCCGAGTGCACTGCATATGACGATGTCAGCGACCAGCCAGAACGAGAGACCACCAGGTTCTCCATGAGTTTAGCCAGTTCTGAATTCACATCTTTTTCAGCAGCCAGCGCATCACCCAGCAGTTCGCAGCAGCAGCCGAAGCAATCAGCGTGGCAAAACAGCATGCAGGGCAACGTCAACAGCTCCACGGGCCTTGGCAGCGCCACCCCCATGGCCCCCGTCAGCGGCGGGAAGCTCAGCATCAGCCTGGGCGCCATGGTCGCGGTCAGGAGCGAGGACACGCAGTGCGCAGATTGCGGCGCCGGGGACTCCGCGCGAGCCCTGAAGTCCATCCTCCAGCGCGGAGACTCCTTCCAGCTTTTGAAGGACCCCACTGGTGTCGCGCTGTATCCTGCAGCTCAATTTGGCTTAGATGTTTCACAGCCGCCCCATGGGGGGCCGCGGCGCCTACAGCTCTTCCCGGATGGGTCTTTCATTTGGTTTCAGGACAGTTCGTGGGCGTTTGCTGCAGCATCCTCGGGGCATGATGATGTTGCCCCATATTTGGGAAACCCCGATGGACTCATATCCTACGCGCCCGCCATCGGCGTCGACCCTGGTATCTGGAAAGGCTCCGCGCTCTCGAGTACCGCCGTGGAGCTATCGGGTACCCCGTGGGCCTCCATTCGCGCGCTGGACCACTGCGCGCGGCACCTCGCGCGCACGAGCACACCGGGGCCGAGCCCCGCGATTTTTCGCGACAGCACGTCAGCCATCGGGATTGCCAACGGGGGCTTCGCACCAACGTTTACCGGGGGCCTCGGGGCCCTGACGCACCGCGCGCACGCGTTGGCCGAGTGGGCCCATGGGGCCGATGCACGCGGACACGCGCGCAACCCATGGAACGAGCTAGCTGGCAATATCGCCAGGTCCGAGGTTGCGCGCACTTCTGAATCGCATGATGACCTCGTCCAACAGCTGTACTTTATCCAGCGTAAGAGCGGTGCTGGATCGCCTTTTCCACGCCCGAGGCGCTCGCGGCCTGCCCGCCGGCGTCGGGCCAGCGCGGAGGTCAGATGTTCGCAGCCGCCCTTCCAGCGGGCCACGACAGAAGGCAAGGTCAAGGCCGCCATCTCGTTTAATTTCAAGGCCCTGCCCCACAGCGCCTGCCCCGCGCTGGACAGGGGATCCGGGGCCGCCAAGACGCCGCCGCAGTTCAGAGGGCACCTGCGCCAGCGCCACACCCCAGCTGGGGACATCTCCCTCGCGGGCGCCCACGAGGCCCGCAACCCCGCAGGCAAGGAGACCCCCAAACGGTTCATCATTATCTCTTCTGGGGCCACCAAGGGCAATCTCGGGCGCGAGCTCTGGGCCCCCACGCGGGCCCCCCGCGCCCGCGTCGACGGGGTCGCCGAGCGCCTCTCAGACAGGCGCCAGGCGGGCCTCCATTCAGACCCCCGCGGGCTCATTGTCAAAATCGACGCCTCTAGGTATACCGTCGCGGCCGTGGCCCTGCGCGCCCCCCCTGCAGCGGCTGGCCCCCGGGGGCCATCTACGGTTCATCTTGGGATGTCAAAGTTCAGGTCATCATGGCGGACGCGAGCGCCAGAGTCGGCCAAGCGCATTATAGCGCAGTTGGGCCGCGCGGCGTGCGCCAGGCGGAGGACCTCAGCGGAGAGCCCGTTCATGCCTGCCTGCTAGAGACGGGCCTCTTCGCCGCCAACGCAGCTTCCAAGAATTTCGCGGAGAGGTCCTTCTCATGGCAGGCTCGCGCAAGACACGAGCACCGCGTCGACTACATAAGCGCGCAGTCCGCGGGCATCGCGCGCGCAGCCACGCAGTGGACCGCGCCATAGATGGCGCGAACTGCAACCCTGACCACTCGCAGCTAATATGCAGCATCACATCCAGCAGCCAGCGGCAGATATCCAGGCCAAGGCCCCATTACGACCCCAAAGCTTTCAAGGATCCCTGCAACCATCCCGCGCGCGCACGCCTCCGTCGACATCGACGATCACTTGCAGCGCCTGCGCTCGCATGTCACCAGATGCGCGCAGACTGCTGCTGATCGACACTAAGGTACTTATGAAGCCCCACGTGTCTGACCAGCTTCTAAGAACGATCCAGTTCCGCCGACGCGTGCGCCGGGCCCTCTGGGCGCGGAGGCGCATGGACGGCAGCATGTTTCCACGTGGCGCAGGCCGTGGGCGCCCGCGCATGCGACCACCTCCCTCCGCGCATCAGACACCCCGCCATCCCTATATCGAACGCCCCTCAGGAGTGCGCAGAGGGCGCGGTTTCAGCAGCCGGCGTTGTCGAAGCCATGGTGCAGTTTGTCAAGGCGCCTGGTTTTTTCGCCGAAGAACGCCCTCAGGCAAGCCAGAGAGGACACCCTCGTTGAGCTTGCGCAGCAGGCAGAGCGGGCAGCACGCAGTAAAGACCATCGGCTAGAATGGCGGACCAGCTCCAGAGGCTCGGAAGCAAACCCCCCATGGGCCCCATTGAGATCCCCATGCGGCTGGCGCCCGGCGGGTCCCTCATGCGGCCCTCCAGGGGGCCAGCTGACAACATCCTGCGTTTCTTCTGCAACATCTAGAATGCGGGCATAATCTCATGGAAAGATCTGGTTCTGGCTTACAGCTGGAGCTCCGAGGCCCCCCAGAAGGCCCACTACTGGGGCACCGTAAACATTCCGACCCTAGCATGGCTAACCCAAAGGATCCGACAGTCGAAGCATGGGCGCGCAAGGGGCCCCGACGACCTTCTCGATGACACTTTCAAGCTGCAGCCCGAGTTGTTCGCCTCCTTTTTGCACCCGTTGCTGGTCGAGGTAGGTTTGGGCACCAGGGAACCATGGGCCGCGATGGGGAGGTTGGTCGGCCGAGGCCGCCCCCAACAAAGGCGACGCTAGGCTCATGACAGCTCACAGGCAGATCGCCTTGGGCCCCCACATTGCCAGGATGCGCTGCGCCGTTTTTCGCTGCAGATTCCCCCGGGTCGTTCCCCACTTGCCTAGAATGATGATGGGTGGCGCGAGACAGCGGGCTGCGGCAATCGCAGCCACCATCGCCATGTCCTTTCTGCGCAGGCGTGCCAAGCCGCAGGGCGCGCAGCATAGCTGTCGCTCTCCTTCTTGCGCGCGGCCTTCCACGGCGTCGCGAGGGCGCGCCTCGCACAGCTCGGCCCGGACGCCGAGGGCGCAGGAGGAATCCAATAAAAAAAGCTGCGGTTGCCGGAGCTCTCCCCCCGTCGCCGAGATGGCTGCCAGACAGCCTGGCACCTTGGGCGCCCTGGAGGGCCCCATCTCAATGACACCGCAGCCCAGGCCCTCCAGCGCACTTGGTTTCAGGTCAAAGGGTGCCCTCTAGTAGCCAAATCCCTCGCAGGCTCCCGCCCAGGAATGATACTCGCGCGCCTTTTCTTAAACCTGGTCTTCGGCCCCATCCAGCTGGACATTGCAAGGGGGCTCGCAGCGGCCTCGACGCTGCCACCCATCGCGGACCCCCAACGGGACCATATGAAATTTCAAGGGCCAAACCGGCCTGAAACCGAAATCCGCGGCTCAGGCAACGTAGGCGACCTGCTCACCTTGGGGTTTGTGGACAACGTGCCGACCTGGAGCAGCGCCTGAAGGCACATGTCGGCCGCGGTGCACGAGGAAATGCCCACGCGAGGCTTCGCCATCAATTGCGACCCTGGCAAGACGGAAGCCATGGTCCTTATGGCAGGGATGATGGCAAGGACAGGCAAGCAGCAACTAGCTACGCTCCCAGCATGCAAGCTAGACATCCAGCAGCATGGCATCATGTTACCCATCACGGACCAGTACAAACACCTGGGCGGTCAACTGAGCTCCCTCTCGGGCATGGGCCCAGAGCTGGCCGGCTACGGCCCCCCTTGGGGATCCTCATGCGTTCGGCTGTCAAACCCTCTGGGGCCCTTGTAGATAGCAACCTCAAGTATGGTACTAAAGCTATAGTAGCGCAACCTCAGGTATATTAAAGCTAAAGTATATTTAAGCGAGTTCTCGGAGCTGAAGAACATGCAATGCTCGAGGGCTGCCGCGCGCATGAACTATTACCAGGACTTCTACCAGACAGCTCGGTGCATACATCATTTACCTCGAGACAGAAGCGCTGTCTGCCTCAATATATGGACGGCTTCGCCGCCTAGCCTTCCTGCCTCGCCCGTTGTTGCACGCGCCATGCATGTTGCGCGCTCGCTCGGACATTGACATGGCCTCCATGCATGCAGACAGTTGGTCACGCCTCACCCATGAAGACGGGATCTGGCTATGTGATCACGTGCCCATGCCAGCAGGCCTACGTCCTTTCCCGCCGCTGGCGGGATGGTTAGAATACAGTCGTGATTGCGACGGAATCCGCACGACACAAGCCTCTTGGGCCCCCCATCGCTCGCGGGACCACCGACAGTTCGACGCTGCACGGCTATGTTGCGCGGACTTGGCGCGTCAGGCACGCGGGAAGCGTTCCGGGCCTAGGCTTGCGTCGCGCCAGGCATTGCTCTGCCACATGTTCAGGTCTACTTGCCACGCACCTCCGCGCAATGACCCCTGAGCAGTTACAAGAGGAGGTAGATGAAGATGAAGATGGAGCGCGGCCGCGCGAGCTCCGCAACGCTGGTTTGCACCCTGAGGTTGCTGAGCCGCCCCCCCCCCCCTCCCCCCGACGCATCGTTCGCCCTTTCCTTTTAGGCGCCCCCTCCTCTCCCGTTCCCAAGGTCACATGCGGCGGGGTAGCGACTGAAACGCGCGGGAGTTTGCTTCTGTTGCGCCCACTGAGCCACGTGCCTCATTCAGCGAACATCCATATCGCGGTGCAGGCTGCACAAGAGCTTGCCAGGATGTTGCAATTTCCTGTCAGTGCGCAGTCCCGCCCGCCACGCCAATCCGATAGATGTCCCTCAGGCCAGGTATCGAGGCACGCCTCTCTTCCGCTCAACAGTGGGGGGTTGTGTGCTGCTTTCATCAGAGTAGAACAGGTTG